AATTTACTACTACTTCCATATGTTATTCTAAATGGAGAATATTTCTTTGGTCTTATATCTTAATTAAGACATTGTTAGTGCGAAAACCGATTTAAAATTGATTGGTTGAAAATTATGCCACAAAATTTATCAATTGCACAATGTTAAAAGTATTGAAGATTATGCCAAATCCAATGCCCTGCAGTTGTGCTTTTTGTAGGAACTACTGATAACATGTTTGCATTATCAGCTCTAGAACATATATATACGGAGAGGCAAGATCTGAATTGTGAGGTTAATTTACATGATTTCAAACAAAATTAGAAGATCCAGGTCTTGTACTCGTGCCAATTGAAGTACATTGGGCAACTATAGATTTTGCGGGACTTCAAACAGTCCTGCAATCTGTATATCTGACAATGATTTTGTTCATGTCGTTGCTAAAAGCCTCCAGGCTACTTCATTAGTATCTCCTCTATGAATCAACTACCATTTAGCATTCACATTTCTCAATTGAACCTCTGGTTTAATGTTAATAAATAACCTTTCAAGAAAAAAGCAATTGAACCTCTGGTTTGTTTGAGAGCACTCATTTCCTCATAAAAATTCAGATTAATTCAAGACAACTAGTTAATCTCAATCATCGATAGGATTTCTCAAAGCTGATCTGTGATTGAGAATACTGTGATGCTCATAAGGATTAAGAGGCTGCAATTAGAAAGACAAATAAGTACCAGCTTGACGTCATTAGAAGCTTGAAACTAACGGTACCTTAATAATTTGTAAATAAATATGCAAATAGTTAACATTCTCTGTTAGATTTCTTTATTCTTGTTGACAGAATGCGTAACGGTAGGTAACAATTTTCTTTCCCTTTTTAGATGCTTCAGCTAGCAACCCGGGTTTATAAGATGGGGTCCTGTACATATGACAAATGTGTGAATGAAAAATATAATTCATTCCCTCAATTGTTTCTTTTGTCTTCTTACTCAGTAACGATCAGGATTACTAGTTCTGAACATTCGCTTTCAGTTGATAAAGCATTGACTTCGATTACAGAAAAAGACTCTAATAATCATAATAAGAAGAAGAAGAAAGTGACTTCAACAAATTCCAACTTTTTCCAGGTTATTTATACTAGCAGAACGACGAAAATCTGAACCAAAGATAATTTAACAGAAAGCAACAAAAGCTCATCCGAATAATGGATTCCTGCCCAATAAGTCATAATTTTAAGCAACTCAAGTAATTCCCAACTAATCATGATTCAGATTTATTTAGACAATTTATTAGTACATAATAATGTGCGAATGAAAAGACAATTATTGTAATTCATTTTAGTCATCTCTAATTGCCAACTCGACCTTTTAATTGCGATACTTGGCCTTGTAATCACTCAAGAGCTGGTCGACAGTCTTCCCCAGCAGCTCAACGAAATAGTTAGCACTATAGCCAGTTCTCATCTTCTTGTTAAGCTCCGCAACAAATCCATTTCTGAGACTATTACAATACTCCAAAAACCTTGCTGTAACATCGTAGCCTTGGTCCCACCTATCGCCCTGGCCTGGCTTCACCCAGTGGCTAGGACTATAATTAGCCTTCAGCCTCACAAAATCCGCTACTCCTTCGATTAATCCTCCAGGAGCCCGGCCGTTATCGTTCCATTGCCAGATATGGGTCATTTCATGATAAAGCACCCCAGTGAACTCCTTTTTCACATCACCTCAATACTTCCCAATATAATTTGCGTTGGCATGAAAGTGTCGGTTGATATTAAAAAAATAAAAATATATTTTTATAATATATTCAATTAAATTACATTATAGTATTTATTTTATAACAAATTAATATAATATAAAATTAAAATGTAATCACGTTACAGTTAAAAGATGTAATATGATTGCAATTCAAAACCAATGCAATCACGTTTGAATGTATTATGTAATATTTTTAAAGATAATTTTACTCTTTAATTTTATTATTTTATTAAAAATATTTTATATTATTATAATTAAAATAAAATATATAATATAAAAATAAAATAAAATATAAAATATAAAAAATATATAATATTATTCACAGCAAAAGCTACGTCATCCCGGTTTTCAATGAACAAGGTGACTTTTTGACACATTTTTTCTGTCAGCTGGATTGTTTTGTTGGAAGATTCCCCAGATAAAATTCGTGGCTGAACTCATAGTTTGCTTGGTGTAGTCCACCCCGATATCCCTTCCGAAACGAACACCGCCGCCGCTGTTTCCAGTTTTGTCATTGACAGCATATTCGACAGCATGGGTGCCTTGCATGGCTGTAAGAGATAGCAGCAGAGCGAGGAAAAACAAGGCGTGAGCCATGGTAGCTTAATGCTTAATGGGATTTTGTTTTTCTTTTTGCAAGAAATGTCTCGTTTCTCTAAGATTTATACGGTAGTAGGATGGCAGTGGCAAGGTGACACTTGCTTTATTAATTATGGCATGGTTTCAAAAGTTTGGTCTGTATATATCCATTAAACTTCGAAGAGAAATATAGATCCTTTTATAAGTCAAGAGAAGAGAAATATATGTATATATATAAATAAATATTAATTTCTCAATCTTCAAAAAATAATAATTAACTAACAAATTGTTTTAAAAAACTTTTAATGGAATTGTCCTTCGTTGTCATTAAACAATTATACACGTTAAAAGTTAATTTAAAAATTATTTTATAATAAAATAAAAAATTTCCTTTTTTACATATGATTTTAGATCCAATCAAATACAGAAGGTACCCTTACCTCGTTTATTCTGTTTTTTCCATTATTAAATTCAAGTTTGACTGTTTTAAATTGGAATCTTAGTTCTAATTATTAAAATTATTTTTTAAGTAAATTCTAATTATTCAACTCTTTTCCTTTTCACTTTATGGGTTAGCTTATTTTGACAAGTCAATGCATCAAATGATTCATGGGAAATCCAGCTAGTTTGACAGATTCAGACTCGTCAAAATTGGATGGGCAATAAAGAAAAGAGAGATGGAGAGAACCAAACCTAGCTGAGGGTTATTTAATTCCCTATTCGATGTAATAAAAAGGAAAAAAAATCTCATGATAAATTACTTTGACTTGGATCAAAATTGACATAATAGGTGCATTTGATATTTTGTTAGAAATGTAATTATTGGGTATACAATTATTAGGAATGTAATTATTGAAAAAATAACTTTATAACATTTGATATAAAATGTGAAAGTAATAATTATAAGGAATGTAATTGTTGATAAAATTATATTGTAATGTTTGGTTTGGAGATATTTTATTAGAAATGTAACGTAAATTTATAAAATTATATTTATGTATAAAAATATAAAATTGAATAAATTTTTGTTTTATATATTTGGGGGAAGGAATGAATATATTTATATTATTTGTAATATAAATTTTTAACTTTTCAATTTTATTTTTAAAATAATAAATAATAATATGATAAAATAACATAATACATAAATACTAATTATATAAATATTAAAATATGTGAAATTATAAAAATATTTATTTTTAGTAAATTAGTTAAATTTTAAAGAATTAAATTATTTAATTTAAATTTTTTATAAATAAATTAGTTAATTTAAATAATAATTAATTAATTAGTATTTGAGAATTTGGTTCATTGGTTGGTAATGATCTCCTTACCTAAAAAATAATATTTGAATCCCCTTTCTCCAAATATAAAAAAATTAATTAATTAGTTAATTAATAAATTTATTTAATTTAAAGTAATTAATCAATTAATACTAATGATATATTTATATAATCAATTATTATTTTCATTTAATTCATATGCTCTTTATTTTAAAATTTAGGTATGATTTATAATTATATATTTAATTATTTTTTGTTTTGTTCAACAAATAAAATTAACTTATTTGGCATGTAGAACTCCATGTTCTTTTTTCTCTTTCTTCTTCTTTTTCTTTCTTTTTTTTTTTCTCTCCTTACACCTTGCGCCCATTATCAGCTTCAGCAATCCATTCCTAGGTAATGCAAAGTCCACTAACAGAAAACCACCCAACACAAACAAAATAACAAGAATCCCCAATCAAAACTACATTGGTAGCAAACCAAGACAAAAAAGAAAACAAAGACATGGAAACTCAGTTCAAGAGCTCAACTTCAATCAGTGATGAACTATCAGATCTGATAGACAATCTGTAAGACCTCAATTTTGAACAGTCAAATTTGATATCTACAAGATCTGAGAATATGAATCATAGATCAACTAACCACCTTCATCTTGAACCACAAACAATAGCAAATTTGATACAGGTGAGCAGTTAAGGCAAGAAGAAGCGAAAGGTCTAGCTATGGTAAGGGAATTGGGAGAATTTGGGCAAAGGGAAAGTTACTAAAGGAATCACATACCTTTGCCCATTGTAATGACACTACAATGAAAAGACTTTACGATGTATTTTAGATAAACCAAAGGTTGCAATATAAATACATTAATTTAAAATATAAAGAATGTTCTCCACATGCAGCAAACCAAACACCCCCGATGTCTTTTTCTTTTAATGAGATTAAGTTATAAATAAAAAATATAATTTAATGAGACATTTTTCAATATATGTGACATAAATATTATATTCAATGAAAAATTAATAAATAGATTAAATAAATTGATTTGATGAAATTTGAATGTGTGACTTAAAATTTAAAATGTTTTCCTCAATGCTATAGAGGAAAAGTCTCTCCTTGGCAATATAATAAATTTCTAACAAAAAGCTTCGGATTTGAATCAATAATCTTTCCTTGATCTCCAAACCAAAGTGTTAGGCACACCTAGTTCATTTGGCAGAGAAAAATTGGTATCTATAATCTATATACCCGATCTTTCTTAATACAAAGCTTAAAGATCAACTTGAATAACTATTCTTTCTCTTCTTAAATTAATATGTTCAGCAGATCTTGTTTGACCAAATAAAATTAATAACTGTATTCTATGTAAATCTCATGCATAAGGAGTTTGGAGATGTTACAATTGTATATAATTAAATCAATTGAGTTTTTTTTTTGAGAGCGCCTAACTACTTTATTTATTGACTAATTAAGGACAAGAGAACTGATGCTCATTCATATGATAATGGATATATATATATATATATATATATATCAATTTTTTTACGTTAATAATTAAAGGGCTGCTAGATATAGCTATGGCTTCTAATTTCTTGTCTGGTTCTTGTAGTCGCTCCACAACTGATCAACCGTCTTGTCAAGCAGCTGAAAAAAGAAATCAATACTGTAACCATCTTTCATTATCCTGTTAAGCTCCGCTACAAACCCAATCCTAAGACCTTCACAATAGTCCAAAAACCTAGCCGTAACAGAGTAACCGTCGTACCATTTATCCCCTTGCCCTGGCTGTGCCCACCCAGCTGGAACATAATTAGCCTTCAGCCTTACGAAATCTGCAATCCCTTCAATCAGTCCCCCAAGAGTTTTGTCTTGCTGCCCATTCCCGTCCCATTGCCAGACGTGAGTCATCTCGTGGTAAAGCACCCCATTGAATTCCGGCTTTAGTTGATCACCGCTAAAAGCTTCGATATGCTTATCGCTGACTTGAATCATATTGCCGCTTGTAACTGCAGGAGTTTGCGGTGGCAGGGTATCAACGACGTCAAGGCTTACGCTTAAAATGTAGTTCTTTTTGTCAGCCCGCGGGTCGTTTTGCTGGAAGAGGTTCCAGATGAATTCCGAGGCCAATTCCATATGTTGCCTAGTGTATTCGACTCCGAGCTGGTTGTCGAATACGATGCCTCCGGGAGTTGTTGCAGCCTGGTTGGTAACAGCGTAATCGACAGCATCCATACCATGCAGGGTTGCTAGTGCCAACAGAGAAACAAGGAAGAAACTTTGGTGAGCCATGGGTTTTTGTGTTGGTGTTACGGTAGTGAATAGTTGGTTTAAGGTTTGTATAGAAATTTCTGTGATTAGCACTCTACCATGTTACTCTTGCAGTGATATACTGGAAGCTTCCTCCATTTTGAAGAAGGACGAGTAGAGTTGGAAAGGTAAGCTGCTCATGCGACCTGAATTTCATCCGCTGAAGCGCGAACGGTTTAAAGAACTGAAACAAGACGCAACGCGACATTAAACGAGATTACCCGTAAAGATTTCTTACAGTTTAATTGGCCTCTCAAGTAAACATGGGCTTTCAGCACTTTCTTCAGCACGTGCCCGTCAAATTTAACTGGTCCAACCATAAGTTCAAGCCCACCAGATGATAATAATAAGTGGCCAACCATGTTAAGACTTTAAACTGAAAAATAGGCTGGGCTTGAGGAAGGCCAGGCCTTGGAAAGTGACAAGCCAAATTTCTTAATAACGTTGGGATCGGAGATTTTACAGAAAAAAGGGTAAAAAATATTATCAGCATTATTGCTTTTCTTATGTAAATTAAAATCCCATGGGAACATGTTATTCGTAGATAAATTATTAATAAAATATCAGTATTTAAAGTATTCAATTTTAGATGTCCTTTAATTTTATTTTTTTTTAGTTATATTTTTGACATTTGAACACAACAGAATGTTGGAAATAAGTAATTTTCATGAGAAATTTACAATATAAATCTGTATATTTGATGTAAATAATTAAAAGAAATATGTACCCCATATAATGAATACATATGAATGACCCATATTGGTTCATTTATAAGCAAAAAGCCGAAGATGATGACGCTGAATATGGAGAAAGCATTGACGTTTAGGTTTGGCAAACACTATGTTTTGACTATGGGAACACATTCCATTCACCAGAACCATATTTATATAAGTTATGACCAAATCATATTGGTAGTATGGTGGTTGGTTCACTTGTATTCCAGCTGTTCAATTTTTATGGACCTAAGACCTAAAATAACACAGCACCTTTTCCTCCCCACTTTTTCTTTTAAAAACCCAAAAGGAGTATGTGAGAAGCGTTGACCATCAATGGCGCTTGAAAGTCCATGCAACTCAGCTCTTCTTGAACATTTTTGCTTTAAAATTATGACCTTTTCTAAACAGAATTTTCTTTATTGATTCTTTTGCTTTCTTGGGTGGATATGACTTCGTGCATTCATTGTCCCTAATATTCTCATCTCGTTGTAGAGTTGGTGCTTAGAAGCAAGATTAGAGTGGGAACGTCTAGGAAATGAGAACAAGAATATGTGGACATTTTGGTAGCTCTTGCCTTTTACTTTCCCTTTTCCATTTTGTTCGAAACCTTTAGCCCTCTTTATGCCTCGTCGGAAACAAGGCGATACATTGTAGGCCATGCTGATACTAACGCAAGGGATTTATTTGGAGATATATGTCACATATGTCAAAGTAAACTATATATCGACACAGATAGTATTGAAAATTGAGCATATATAACTGAAATAAGTAATTTGACTAAAAGAAAAGGAAACCATTTCTATGTTCAAGGGATATATATATATATATATATGTACATATATATAGTTTAGTGATGAAATTTTCAATAACTTATACTATATAAATTAAATTTGATTCATCATGCCACGTGTAAATTAGATAAATCAAAATAAATAATATTGAATGATCAATAAAAATTAAAGGAAGATGTTACTATTCAATATTTGAATGTATCACCTCTATTAATTTTAATATCATCTATATCAAAACAAGTAAAAGGATAATTATTTCCAAGACTTAAAATAAGAATCATAATTACAATGTAATACAACATAAACCAGCATTATTTCTATCAAATTTTTTTGACTGAAATGATACGTGAGTTAATATAATATTAAACTCTTTTTCTAGGAATGGCAGATTATAATTGTTTGGCAGGTTATTGACTTTGCATTAGCATCAAGTTTGCCTAATTATTTATCATAAGCAAATAATACATTGATATAATTAATACTATACTATGCATTAAGATCAAACTTTTTGGCTGTAAGCTGATATGCTATTATACATCTAGACATTAATATATGGCTTTGCTGTTTGCTGTTGAGAAAGCTATTGGGATCAAGCTCAATAATTCTACAGGAAGATCTAAGCTTTAGTAAAGAAGATTATTTACGGTACGTTAGTCCAAGGCACATTACTGAAGAGTCCATGATAGCATCTGCACTGGAAGCAAAATCTCTGCAGTCAATAGTTTTGTATTGGCAAAAGTCTTTCGTGGATATCTCGGTCTTCTTTTTCAACGGGGAAGGTGCAAAAGAAGAAAAAAAATGAAAAGAGAAATATATATGGCATGGACAATCGCTAAAGTGAATAAGTAGGAATAGGAGTTCAACTATTTCATTGATTTGTATGAGAAATCATTTACATTACGCAAACATCAAATGCACATATATATGTTGCGTACCAAGTTAATAGGCAAAAAGAAAACATGAAGAAAATGGAAAACCCTAGATTCCTTCAAAAACATCAACTAAATGACTTCCCCTTTTCTTTAGTAGAACAAAAGAAAAAGGAAAAAAAAAAAAACCCACAAAGCTTTGTAGGTGCTTGGGCCTTGGTGCATGCAAGAACTTTGGTGCATGCAAGAACTTGGCTACTTGCTTTACCTCATGTATGATGTAACCTTTCCTTGCTTTATATAAAAACCTAAATACTTGACTGAACCTTATGAGTTATGAGCTTGTGATGAAAAATGTTAAGAACGGTGAGGGCTTCCATCAATGGCCGGCTCCACGGCCGCTGGGACCAGAATAAGCTCTGCTCATACTAAAACCCTTTATAGACGAAGAAGAAGAATCCTGATCTTTTAGGATTCTTGAGCCCTCAACATGCAAGAAGTCTGAGACCAACAGAAAGAAGATGAAGACTGAAAGGAGATTGATAGCTAATGCAAGACAGCGAGAACTCATTTTCTTTTGATCGTTTGCTTGTCAGGTTGGCTTTAGGTGCCGAAGGTGTTCAAATTTGAGATATGGGTTTGCAAATGTAAAGTGTTGAGTTTTATATAAAGGTTGTAGGAGGGAGCTGGGAGCCACTGCATAGCATAGTTCTTTGACATTTTGTAATTGTTACTGTGGAGCGAGGGCGAGTGTAATTGTCAGAGGTTTGAATCTGCGGTTTTGAAAACGTATAACCCACGGTTTTGACTTGCCAGATTTATATGGCGATGAAATACGAAACAGTCAAATATCCTCGACAAAGGGAATAAAATTAATGAATGGCGAGTCTATGTTGGCTTAAAATCTAGTAATATTTTAATGTTTATCGGTCACTTTATATAAGAATAAGAATTTGGTCCTTTAATTAAATTTAACTCTTTTCAACTTTAACGACATGGCGTTTGCTTGTCTCCTTTTCCTCACTCAAAAGTACTCCCCTTTTTCCCATCTTCCCTTTCACATTAGCCAAAATTCTCTCACAGTTGTATGCGAGCTCGTCCACCTGCAAGATGAGCGAACCTATTTTCCATGGGGATTTTAGTTTGGAGTAGATGGGTATGAAACATGCAGCCACTTTTTTACCTTTCCCAGCAATTCAAAGCCTCTTTAATTCTATGTTCGTATCTACGAACTTCACTTCATAACAAACTGGAGTTTTCGATTGTATGTCTTCAAAGAGGGCTTATATAGGTCCAAATGCCCTTTCAGGGATGAACATCAAAATCAGAAACTAATACGGTCAAATTAAAAAAAAATCATTTACGCTAGGTGATTTTTCAGGGTACACACCGTTGGATCATTGCAAAGCTGGGGCTACAATGTAGAACCCCAGACCTGCAAGATTTCCACCCCTTACGTGGACAGGTCGGTGAACCTCCCTAGATCGGCAGATCAACTTGGGTTGAATTGAATTAGTCAATCCTGCTCTGCTGGGGGACTCCTGCCAATCTCTCGTTGAAATTGTTCGCATAAGTTCGGCTATCTATCGTACTGAGGTTTCATACGCTCATTTCTTATCCTCCACCAAATCACACTGCGGTTCGCGTTTTGAAGACGTACGAGACATAAATTAGCGTTCGTTTACAAAAATAGATAGAACAAGAAGAATTCCAAATCCTTCAGAAAATTAATGCCTGCTTTAAAGGGCACCGCAAACAGCAATTTCATTCTTTTCTGCTTTGTTGAAAAAGATACAGCCCTTCGGCCTATGAGCAGCTTTACAATAACATGATTATCAAGTTACTAACCCACAAAACAAAGCCTTGTTTTCTAATTGTTTCCCAAGTCAATTAACGCCAACTTGGTCTGCTACTCGATCAAAGGTACAACATCGGTTGAAATAAAAAGTCAGCAAGTGATTAAAAAAATATTACTTGAACCTGACAATAGAAAAAAATCATTCAAGTGGCTTCTATGTTTAAACAACAAAAAAGGAAAAAAAAAATGCAGCATGCAAATTAATTTAATTTCAAAATACGTAAAATGCTTTTCTAATCCTGTTAAGTTAACCAGGTCCTAGAAACAAAGCTTGCACCTGCCAGAAAAAGGTGGCCAGGGTACATTTTCTAATCCTGTTAACAATGCAATTTTGAACTCCGATGCCTACCAATACTACATATTTGACCAGATTTCTCGAGGTAACTAAAATTTGATCTTCCACATCAAGTGAATATCCATCTTTTTTCCATCGACCATTTATCTTGTACAGATATCCGACGCAGATTGAGCAATCATGATGAATCCTCTCCAGAGACTTACCATAATCAACAAGCAAATGAAGCTTAAAAACAGGCCACGAACTCACAAAGCTAAACACAATGGGCATTCCTGGAAGGCTTGCTTTCAAAGGCTTCAGCGGATGGCATTTGAGCACCAATAAAACTGCAAGCAGGATCAACAAAATGAAAAGAACTTTAATCACTCATGATCTATGTGCTAACCAACCATCCATAATCTGTTGTTACTTCAATAATCACTAAAAGCTCAATAGGGGAAAAATATTTGTATAAAAATTTTCTGGAAAGTTCAAATCAAACATGTTACCTTGTGTGGCACTTTTTGTATCCAATGAAGGTGACTTGAGGATTCTGGAGTCAATTAGATCACCGAGTTCAAATGATGATGCCAAGTTTCAACTGCCCAAC